TATTTTCACTTTTGTAAAAGTTAATTTAGCAAAATGATTTGAACTCTCCCATATACTGGCATTTGTTAGCTTTTCTTCTGTTTTAAACAGTGACAAGAATACAATGTTAAATTAAGATTCTTGAAAGTCCTACCTTATATGGGCTAATTAGTCTTCTTTTAATATCCAGTCTATAGTTTCTGTATTGTTCAGCATCACTCATGTCAGTTACCAGTAGTCGAAGAATTTCATAAACCCGTCTAGCATGTTGCTAATAAATAAAACAAAAGAAAAACGTGAACATTTTCAAATTTAAAAATAGTGACACTTTCCCAAAAGAACACAGGATATGTTTAATATCTGCCATGGACAAAGAATTGTGCTAGATACCAGAAGAAAAGCAGTAAAAGACAGTCTCTGCCCTCAAGCAGTCCAGTGGGTTAACACAAATGATTGAGGTATGATTAATTTAATGGCAGAAATATGCACAGGGTATTATGGTAGCATGGCCTGGGAATGTTAGAAGAGGATTCCTAGGGGAATGAAACCTAAGCTAAATCTTAAAGGGAGAAGTATGTGCCACTCTAGAAAAAAGGGAGGGCACTCTGTGTGTGTGTGCATGTGCACGTGTGAACATATGGACAAGAACACAGCAGCTTGACATTGCTGAAGCACAAAATAAGCAAAAAGTAGGGGGAAATGAGGGTGGAGCCTTATAATATTGGGTTAAAGAGCTAGACTTTAACCTAGTAGGTTAACAGATTTTAAATGGGAGAGTAAGCAACATGCATAAATTTGAGTTTTATGTAAATCACTCTTTCAGCTACATAGATATGGTAGCAAAAAGAGGGGCAGAGAGATCATTAAAAAACTAAGCTATGGGCTGGGTGCGGTGGCTCACAACTGTAGTCCTAGCATTTTGGGAGGCCGAGGTAGGAGGATCGCTTGCAGTCAGGAGTTTAAGACCAGCCTGAGCAACATAGCAAGACTCCATCCCCACAAAAATTAGAAAAACTTAGCCAGGCATGTGGTGCATGCCTATAGTCCCAGTTGCTAGGGAGGTTGAGACAGGAGGCTCACTTGAGCCAAGGAGTTTGAGGATGCCGTGAGCTATGATCACACCACTGCCCTTGCAACAAAGCAAGACCCTATCTAAAACAAACAAACAAACAACAAAAAAAAACTAAGTTATTATGGCTGGGCATGGTGGCTCACGCCTGTAATGCCAGCACTTTGGGAGACCAGGGCAGGAGGATTGCTTGAGGCCAGGAGTTCAAGAAACTAAGCTATTAAATCAGGCAAAAAACAATAAGGGCATGAACTGGGACAGCACAAGTAAGAATACAAAGGGGCAAGGATTCTAGAAATAGGAGGAAAAATTGGGAGGAGGATGTGAAATGACAGTGAGTTTTCACAGCCTACGGGAGATTTAGGAGGGAGCAGAACGTACAACTCTGAAAAAAATTCTAGTCTAAGGGTGAGAATGTAAGCAGTATTAGTATATAGGTAAGAGTTAAAACCATAAGGTTGGTTAAGATCAGCCAGAGAAAGCATACACAGTGATAATAGAGGAGAGAGTACAGTGACATTTAAAGGGCAGGCAGAAGACAGAAAAATGGTCAAAGAGATATCAAGAGAATCAGGAAGTCTTGATGTTACCGAAGCTGTACGATAGTTTTTCTGTTTATGTTGTTTGACTTACATATTTATTTAGGCAGGGAGGGTATGGGTAGGTTAGGAATATGATATTTGAACTTCTTAGAAGTGACACATGAGTTGAGCCTGAAAAAATGAGTACTATCTTGCTAGGCAAATAGGAGAAGGTAAAGGGAATAGTGTATGTAAAGGGATATAGAAGGAAGAAAGATGTGACATAGTTGGGAAATGGCAGGAGGATCACAAAAGCTAGAGCATGTAGGAAGCTGAAGCTACCAAGGTAGACAGGATCTAGATTATGATGGACTTTTGAGACAGGGTCTCTGTTGCCCAGGCTAGAGAGCAGAGGCGTCATCAGAGCTCAATGAAACCTCCAACTCCCAGGCTCAAGCGATCTTCCCTGCCTCAGCTTCCTGAGTAGCTGGGACTACAGGTGCACACTACCACACCTGGCTAATTTTTGTATTTTTTGTAGAGATGGGGTCTTGCTACATTTCCCAGGCTGGTCTTGGACTCCTGGTCTCAATCAATCCTGCCGCCTCAGCCTCCCAAAGTGTTGGGATTACAGGTGTGAGCCACTGCGACAGACAGAGCCTTTACTCTTAATCGCTGCTACTTACCACACACATATTCTTAATGTCCTTACACTGTTCTAGTTAAGCTATGTACTTTAAGAAAACTTTAAAATTTTAAATGTTTTTTTCCTGCAGAATACAAATACCTTATTTATTTTGAACTTCTGTTGTGCCTCTATCGCCATATCTTCATTGAATCCTTGCATTAACTTTTCTCGGGAAAAACAGGGCAAATCTTGACAAAGTTTCACAAGCACAAAGTCTCTTAATTTCACATAGCTTTTGGATGGATCTTCCGCTAAAGAAATAAAGCAGAATAACATTTCCCTTATCCAACGTAACTTTTTCATCATTTGCAATCTCTCTCTCTCTCTCTCTCTCTCTCTCTCTACACACACACACACACACACACACACCCACACACAAGGCGAGGAAGGCAAATATTCTTTTTTTTGGAGACAGGGTCTCAACTTATTGCCCAGGAATAATCATAGCTCACTGTAACCTCAAACTCCTGGGCTCAAGTAGTTCTCCTACCTAATCTTTGTATTTTTTGTAGAGACGGGATCTTGATATGTTGCCCAGGCTGGTCTCGAGCTCCTGGGCTCGAGTCATCCTCTCACAGTGCTGGAATTATAGGTGTGAACCACTGTGCCTGGCTGGCGTATATTCTTAAAAAAAATTACCTATACAAATGTTACAATGTGAAAGGATTATTCCTTATAAATCAAACAGAACTATTATCTTTGCCAAATAAAATTATAGGTGCAAAGACATTTATATTATTTGTGAAATGAGAGCCACCCATTTCAAATTTAAACTTTTTGACTGGTATGTTATCACATGTATCTTAGTTTTAATTCCAATTAAAGAAGCTGTATAAATGAGTTTCAAGTCTGAATGAGCAATTCCAAATGCAAGCTTTTTTTATAACTGAGGATTCCAAAGCTCAATTTTAACTCTCTTACTTGAATCCAATAACCTCTATAGTCTGCTGTATTTCTGTTATCCAATTAAAAAAAAATTCTTCCATTTACAAAAGCAAACCTTTTGGTTTTATTTTATTTTATTTTTGAGACAGAGTCTCACTCTGTTGCCCTGGCTAGAGTGAGTGACATGGCGTTAGCCTAGCTCACAGCAACCTCAAACTCCTGGGCTCAAGCAATCCTTCTGCCTCAGCCTCCCGAGTAGCTGGGACTACAGGCATG